TGAGGCTGCGGGTCACAGAGCGCTGAGTGCCCTTCGGACGTGAAGGGCCCGCATCCGCCGCGGGTAAAGTCAGTGGGCGGACGTGGAGTGGGCTGGCTTGGCCAGGGTCGCAGCAGGCGGTCAGCCCCCAAGCCAGGGCCCTGCTGCTCCACGGAAACGCGCTCCCGCGTGGGCTCCTGGGTGTGGGGGCGGCGCAGTGGGCTGCTGCTTAGGGAGTGCCCTTTCCCCTTTGGTTGGCCACCACCAACCTCGGCTTCGACCTGGAGCTCCTAACGCGAGTTTCCGTTCTCCGGGCCGATTCTCCGGGAAGGCGACCAGGTGTGGAGGCCCGAGGCGCGGTGCCGCCGCCCACCTGGGCACTCCTCCGCGAGGGCAGGGCTGGCTGGTGCAGCCACGGCCGGCCAGCGCGGAGCCCGGCCCAGCACACACACTGGTCCAATTGGAATGTTTATGAGGCTATCCCGAGAGCGTCGGGTCGGGTCGGGTCCCTTTTTCTGTTCCTTTGATGCCAGTCGAGGTCCTGTGCTGTGCACGGAAGACCCGATGGCGAACAGTCCTGCCCCAGCACTTAGCACTGAAAAGTCCTCCCGGCCCCGAGGAGGCCTTGGACCCAGCTGGAGTCCGAGACGGGGACGCTCAGAGCTTGTCCGGGTTCCACCTCGGGCATCCAGCCTCGGGGACCTGGACGCCGGGAAGAGGCCGTGGACTCTGCCCGGGCTTCTTCTTCGGAGACTTCGAAAACGGAGGCTGTTGAGGGTGCTCGGGCGGTCGGGGTGCGGGTCTTGCTATCCGGTTCCCGGGGCAGCTCAGAGCCGGGAGCTGGAACTTCCCCCGCGAGTCCGAAGTGCCAGCAGTGTCCGCACTAGGCGGGACGCGCGCGCCCTCTAGAGGCGATGATCTCAGCCCCCTCTCCCGGGCGCCCACCCCTTCCTGGGATGGCCCTGGCCTCTCCGGGTCCCTCAAGGAGCAGGGAAAGCCTCCTCTCCCCCACCCAAGACCACGCTAGAGTGAGCGCCGCGCGCGCCCCCTCTGCTCCCTCCCTGCTGCCAGGCCCTCGCGCCGGGAGGGTGCTGGGAAGGCGGTGTCCAGCCGGCAGATCCCCGTTTTGGAGCCTGGATCATGCCAGGAGCCTTCGGACTAGATCCGGGGACGCGAGGTTGAGCCCTCGGGCCAGGTCGGGCCCCTTGGCGGCCCAGCCCATTCTTCTGGGAAGTCGGTGGATGAGGCAGTCAACTCAGCAGCGCAGAAAACCAACAAAGGCCGGTGTGGACCAGGGCCCGCAACCGTCTGTCCGAGGCTCTGTATACATGACTCCCAGGAAAGCCTGGCTCGCCACCGGGGGCAGCGCTGGCTCCAACTCTGGCAGCCTGCTCCTTCCTGGCCATTCCCACCCCCTCTCTGCAGCTCTCCAACACCCCAGGACAGGACAGCTAGGGCTGCCCGGGCCCACCTTCTCTAAAACAAAGTAGCTCCAGCCTACTAAAGGAAAGCCAGCAGCCTCCCCGGCCGACTTTGATCTCAAGTTCGCAGAGCTGGGGTTGCATTTCCAGGGAACCTCCTCCTAGACTGAACCATTCCGGCCTCTGCCCCAACTAGCCTTGCAGCCCGCGGCGGCCGGCAGCTAGGCCCAACTTCTCCTCACTTCAAAGGGCGCTGCTGCTCCCCCGAGGCTGAACTTTATGAATAAATTCATGCTGAGGGTGATGCAGACCTGAAAGGACCGGGGAAGGTTATTTAGTACGCAAATCGACTCTATCACGAGCCGGGGCAACGCCTCGCAGCAACCCCGCTGATACAAAGCTTCTAGTGCTTTGCAGCAACTCCCCCGGAATCTTCTATGGGTGTCCTTTTAAAGTGTTACCACATGTGGTGGATTCAAGGGGTGGCGTGGCTTTCCAACACAGCATCATTGGATATCGGGGGGGAGGGGAGGAATTTGGGGTTGTTTTAATCTGAAGTATCAGTTTCTGGGAGAGGGACCAAAGTGAGTTCATCATGTATTGCAGCATCCTTGGCCTCCGCCCACTGGATGCCAGTAGCAGCAACTCACCCCTGCCCCCTAGCTGTGACAACCGGAATCGTCTCCAGACACTGCCTGATGTCCTCTGGGGGGCCGACTCCCCCTTTCTGAAACTATGGCATAGGGACCCACACCTTTGCTTAGAAAAATGTTTCCTGCACCCCAGGAAGGTGGCTAAGCCTCTCCCAAAGGCCTTGGTTTCTTCCTCCTGCTAGTCAGTCCTGTGGGAAGAGGCTTTTGCCTCAAGAAAGGGAAAGTGAAGAGTCTTGTTTCCAGGTACCACTCACGACATACACCGGGCTGAAGCGAGAGAAAAAAATTTATTGATATACTAAGTTAAAAGACAAAGGTCTTCGGACGCATTTGCTCACGTCTTTCCCCTGCAGAATAAATTAGAATCAGTATAAAAGAACCCAAATCTATCACTAATGTTAGTTTCCCAAAAATACTAGAAAATGCAGTTTTTGGGTGCATGTGAGAGAACATCTGGTCATCTAGGCACTACTTCTCTCCTCCTCCCACCCCTCCCCCAAGCCAGGCGGGCTTCCTGGGGGAAGCATTTCCTTTAACTGGTTGGTCCTGTTTGAATGTGGGGGCTGGGCTATTGTCCAGTTTCAGCAAAGACCTCGTTTCCCAGGGCAGGGACATACCGCTTCAGTTCTCTTTCAAGAAAGCAAACAAATGGCCATAGTTTAAAGCAATTAGAAGGGGTATACACGAATAATTTGGCTTTTTTTTTTTAAAATTAAAAGACAGAAATCAAGCCAGTGATTGGCACTGGTCCAAAGCAGCTCTGGTCCTTCCCCAAAGTTCTCCCCTAATGAAACCTCTAGCTGGCCCAGAGCCCTTCGGTTAGAATCGAGTGTAACCAAAACAAGAAACACTCTTTTTGGTATATATATATATATATATATATATATATATATATATATGACACCCTCTGAAGAGGACGGACTGGCCACCTTTTCCTATCCATTACAGAAGCAAACAGAGACACGACAGGATTCAAACCCAGGCTAGCACACTGACATTCTCAGTAGGAACCCAACGGAACAAAAATACAGAAATCTCAAGTTCGCCATGTGACTGCCGCCTGGACACACGCACACACACATAGCAGCGCATAAAACAGGACTACTTTATTTATTGGTAAACATGCTGACCAGCTCAGAGCACCTGGGCCAACCCAGCCAAGGCTGTCACACCCGCACGGGAGTGCACGCGTGCGCCCACTTCAACACAAACGGCTTGGATTCACAAGCACCAAGGAAAAAACACAACACAGCAAGAAGGCAAAGTGGCTGGGAATAAGGTGTTTGCAGATTCAAACTTTGGGATTGAAATAGCTGGTAAACAGAAAGGCACCAAGTCGGGTTTGGAGACCTGGCTGCTGGGGCTACCTGGTCAGCCCATAGCCCCTGGAAGCCCAGGGCTGCCCCGCAGGCTTTGGGGGTTGCTGCCCACCTGGCTGTGTGGCCTCAAAGGCAGCAGGGTACCAGGCGGGAGGAGCTGCCGAGCTTGGAGGCTGGGAGCTCCTCCGGGGGAAGGAAGCCAGGGGATGGGGGCGGGGGGCTGGAACCAGAGGCCCCAGATGCTGGGACCCCTTTCTTGCCTAATTTCCAGTTTCAGCCTGGTCACCTAGGACGCTAAGCCCTAGTCTGCCAAGATGGGCATCATGCCTGCTGTAGCTAGCATGGCCACCATGGGCGAGACCCAGAATGACGCCCCTCAGTGAGGTCCTGGACCCAGGCTGTCCCCAAAGGCACACTGTTGAAATAATTTGGCTACGCAGAAGCCACATTTCCTATTTGGCATGGAGGGAGAGGGGCAGGGTGGGGGCAGAGGACCGAGGCACAGCTGGCCCGGCCTCCAAAACCACAGCCTGCTGTGAGGCCCGGGGGCGGGGGGGGGGGTCCCCCTGCAGTCAAGGCCATGGGGCTCAAGAGCTCCACGGCTGGCTGACTTGAACCAGTAACTGAAACACAAAGGGAGTCCCCCAAAGCTCCCTTTTTCTTTTCAGCATCACATAGATGTAGACGTCACGCCCTGCCCCACCTCCCCTGCCCCCAACAGCAACCTCGAAGCTGGTCAGAAACTAGCAGGGCACCTGTGGGGGGGGGGGCAGTCGGGTTGGCAGATCTGGCCTTTCTGGGGGCCTTCCGCCAGGCGGGCCACTGATTCTGTCCCACTCCCCAAATGGTACAGGGAGATGCTTCTCAGCTGGGAAGAGCGTGGAACCCCAGAGGTGGGGGGATTGTCAGGGATGGAGGGGTCTTTCCATGGGCGGGAACCACGGCAAGGCCCCTGCAGAGCCAGCAGGCTGGGGCAATCTGAGGGGCCAAGTTAGGACCAGGTGCACAGCCCGGCGGCCAGGAGGTGGACAGCACAGGCTCGCCCTCCCGGCCAGCAGGACTTCTGCAACAGTGATGGCCGGCTGCAGCGGAGACCCGGCCCTAGGGCTCCCCGCCACCCCACGCCCACTCTGAGACCTAGCCTTTCACATTAAGGCCACAGCCCTCGGATGTCAGGGGTGGGGACAGAGATGAAGTCCCCTCACCTGACAGCTCAGGCACAGTTGGGGGGGGGGTTCCTGCTGTCCTGCCCCTGCTCCAAAAGGCTCAGTCAGCCCTCCCTGGCACAGTCCTCCAGGCCCTGCCTCCTGCCCCCACCCACCCACTCGCATGCCCCCAGTGGGCAGAACAGCCCAGCTGGACCTGTGCCCCTGGGAAATCGGGAGGAGAGCTGACCGCTGCCTCCGCAGGCAGGGAGGGTAGTTCAGAGGTTTGGCTCGAGCTGCAGGCGGTGCCCAGACTTCCTGAGGCCAGTGGGAAGTGAGGGCCCAGAGGTAGGAATGGGCCGGGCCAGGCCCCGGCAAGGCATCGAGGTCCCGCCCTGGCCACTGTCAGTCAGGGCCGGGGTCTGGGAGAAGGCCTCGTAGCTTGCCCTTGAAGGGGGCACTCGGCCCCTGGAGAGGGTTTGGGGTGCAGCTCACGTACTGGAGCAAAGCCAGAGGCCAGAGGGCAGGGGAGGCCCCGGCCCTGGCCCCCACAGTGTCAGTAATGCCTCAGGTTGAAGAAGCCCACGCTGGTGGGGGACTCTTTCACCGTGACCGTGATGAGATTGGCAGTGACGTCGGTGACAAAGACGTGCTCGAGGAGGCTGCGGGTGGGCTTCCAGTCCTGGCTGGTCTGCACGGACACAGACAGGTTCTGCTCGGCACCGGCTGCTGAGGCCGAGTCAGGGTCCGAGTCCGAGCTGCTGTTGTCCTCGCCGGTGCTCACCTCAGCCAGCGCGGCCGCTTTGCGTGCGTCTGCCTGGGCCCCGGGGCCCTCCTGCCCTCCGGGGGCTGCCGTGCCCTTCACACAGTCCCTCTTGCTTGCAGGGGTGGGCAGGGCTGCAGCCCTGGGGGCCAGCTTCTCACCCTTGCTGGTGTCGGTCAGCGCGCCAGCCCCGGCACCCTTCCCAGTGCTCGGCGCGGTGGCAGGGACACCCTTGGTGGCTGTGGCATGGCGGGCGACCATGCCCACCCCAGGTGTGCCATTCTTGACACTCTGTAAGTCTAAGACCTGGAGGCTCAGCTCCTGGGTGGGTGCAGGCTGGGGGCCCAGGCAACTGGCAGGCACCTTGCCACTGTGGATGTGTGGGGGCACCCCTGTACTCCCCCCTTTCTGCTCCATAGCCCCGCTGCTGGGGGCCTTTGTGAGTTTGCTTCCTGGGGGACTGAACCCCAGTTCCCCCTTCTGCGTCCTCACCTTGAGGTCCAGCCCAAGGCTACACTTGCTGGGGGCCTTGAGCGCCAGCCTGCTGGCGGCCTGGGCCTGGCCGTGGGTCACGCGGTTCATGTAATGCACGATGGAGCTTTGCCAGCTGATGCCGCCCCGGCTGGGGCTGCTGGCCATGCCCTTCATCAGGCTGGCCAGGTTCTCCGGGGTGGCCATGCTGCTGGGGCCCCCGCAGGCCTCCTTGGCGTGGGCCTTCAGGGCCGCCAGGCCGGCCACGGGGGCGCTGAGCGGAGTGGGCAGCTTGCTGGCGGGCGCGCCCAGGTCCTTCCGGGCAGTCTTCAGCACCCTGGCCAGGTTCACGGGCCTCCGGGCCGCCTTCTGCTCTGGTGGCAGGGGCTTGCGGCCCCGCTTCTTCCGGATGGGGTCCTTCAGTTCGGGCTTGGCCACCAGGATCTGGGCCTTCTTCTGAGGCACTGGGTGGGTCTCCCGGCCCCGGGGGCCCCTCTTGGCGTCCAGGTCGCTGTCGTCCTCTTCATCTGAGGACGAGGAGGAGGATGTGGAGGACGAGGAGGAGCTGCTGGACTTGCACTTGGAGGTGGTGTCAGGTTCCTGCAAAGACACAGGGAAGACGTCACCCTTTTCGTGGCCCGGTCTCCGGGGTTCAGAGTGCACCCTCTCCCCAAGGGGTTTCAGACACCCTGGAGCCACACCTCCTATCACTTCCAGACAGAGGCAGCCAGGAGGAAGCAATTTCTCACCTTTTCATTCCAAAAAGATGTATAAAGTCCCTAATGAGGCTCCAGGAAGTGCAGTTAAAAGAAGAAAGAAAAACAAAACAAAACAAAAAGCCTGTGGGTTCCTGAAAGGGCCACACGGAGCCCCCCAGGATAGTTTCCGGGGCGCACGAGCTCCGCAGTGCCCCCAGCAGAGCCGGAGGGAAACCGGGAGGGCACAATTCCCGTCTCCTCCGGTCGAGTCAAACGAAAGCTCGCTCAGGGCTTTGCAGCCTGCAGCAGTGGCTGTCCTGTTCCTGCCTCCCCACTCCAAACCTGACCCCTGCAACCGCCCACGCAGAACACCAACCACCGTCCTCCCTGGCTCCCTGGCACCCCGAGTGCACCCTATTCTTCAGGTTCCTGCGCTGCAGCTGCTGCAGACTAGCCAACATGACTGAAGGCAGGGAGTGACCCAGCTCTGGGCCACAGCATGTCACGTCAGGGTCCTGGGGCAGTGCCCTCGAGAAAGGAATCAGAGACACGTGGAGACTGAGGCCAGGATCCCAGGTGTGTGCACCTGTGGGCTGCCTAGTCAGCTGCACCAGCTTGGCAAACCTACAAGCACCTACTGTGTGCACGCTTCCTGTTCTCCTGTTCCCCACAAACCACTGGGGGTGACAGAGCAATGGTCAGCAGCCAAGCATGAGTCTATCTGGCAGGACTGCAAAGTGCAAAACAGACGGCGAAGGAACAGGACCCCAGGTCAGGAGAAGCCCGCACTTCCTGCTGCCCCACTGGCAGAGGCCTGAGGGGCAGCAAGGAGGGAGGCGGAAGGCCAGGGACTCATTCCCCAGTGCCCTCGGCCAAATCAGGGCCATCAGCACCCACCTTGAGCTTGGAGTGCCGGCTACAGGAGGACATCACTGTGTGCTTCCTTGGCCTGCCCCTGGGCCGCTTGCCTCTCTTCCGGTTCTGCACCTCCTTCTCGTGTTCCCTAAAGAATCAACAATCGGGGTCACAGAACCTCCCGCCGTGCAGAACCCCATGGCTTCCAACAGCCCGCACCCCGCCCAGCCCACGCAGGCGCGAGTTTACCTGGGCAGAGCCCGACCTACTTCTCTGCAGGAATATCTCTACACGCATCTGTTTCACTCCTATTGGCTAAAGACAAGTCAAAGAAATCCAAGCAAACCCAGGACACGGACAGTTCTCCAGGTTTCTCCGACTCCACCTAAAACAACCGGTGCCGATCCAGACCACCTTCTGCAGGCAGAACGTTTCGTGGGAATTCTAGAACGCCCCAGGAGTCTTTGTGGTCACATGGTCCAACCCCATTTCAACCCGGGGTCCAGGGCAGGGAGTAAGGACTGCCTCAGTGTCCCTCCCTCCACTCCCTTAGGAAATCTCCGGGGGACGCGGGGAGCCAGCAGCTCCAGTCTGGCTCTACATGCGGTCTTCCCGGCTCAGGCCTGTCCGTTCCCTGTGCTACGCCCCTCTGGTTCCTGGGCTCCGCTCTACACTAAGCACGGAGGAGACTCCACCGGGGCCAGGCTCAAAGCCGACCCGACACTTTTACCCAGCCCCCGTGACTCAGGGCCACGAAGTCAAGAGGTGGCCTCCCAACCACCCTGGAGAAAGCTTGTGTTTCAGGCTACCACCTGGGGGAAGAGGATCATCTGGAGAAGTTCCCGGGTAATTAAAATGAGCGACTGTTATCTCATTGGGGCCTGGCAGGTGATCCCTTAAAGAATCCAATTAGTACAACCAGACCTAGAGGATACTTCAAAGCAGCCCCGACCTGTCTCCTAAAAGGACCGAGACTTCTTAAACTCAAAGGCTACACCCCCACACCAAGCAAGTAACGGCTCCCAGCGGGATCTTTCTGGTTTGCTGGAGAAAGCAGGGACCCACCTTCCCTGTTCTCTCTCCCCGGGGATACAATCCAGACCACCCCATGGCGTTAACTCTCTGCCTCTTAGTTATCTGCCAACCCAGGTTCTTTTCTGCTGCACCAGAACTAAGTGAAGTCGCGAACACAGCTCTGGACAGTCCGGACACTGTCTCGCAGAGACATGCGCCAGCTCCACTCCCCTCAAGGCTCACCGGACCCGGGTTATGAATTAAGTCGCGGACAAGGAAGTCGCTAAGCTTTCCCAAGGCACCGGGGCGCGCCTGTGCTCAACCACTTTCTAACCCTGCCCAAAAGACCATCCTTACTTTCGCTCCATTGTCGTGGCCTCTGAGAAACCCCAGAGGTCCTGCTGGGTGAAAAGCATGGTCACAGCCTGAGCCACTGCAGAACCAGTCGGCCAGACTGACCCCAGCAGGGACAGCTTTTGAGCAACCAATTATCTGCCTCTATCAACAGGCCAATCCCCAGCAGAGCGCCCCCACCTGCCCCCACCAAGTGTGCCCTGGGTCAGCACCCTCTGGACTCTTGTGCCCAGATAGGGTGGCCCATCCATCGTCCACCTCTCAGCACCCTTCCCCTCGAGCATCTCAAGGCCTCTCTCTTAACCCAAGTCCCCTACCTAAACATGGAAATGGCATCTAGAATTACAGAAGCAAATTTGGCCCCCAAGACTGGCCAGGGGTCCGCCACGCTGAGGAAAATACGTGTTTTTGGTACAGATACACCGTAACAGGCCCAACATTGCGCTGTGTTCCAGCTCCCTCTGTGCCTCCTCCAGCTCAGGGGCACCCTCATGCAGGGTGGGGAGGCCAGGTCTGCATTTCTATGGCAAACCTGCGTCCTAGTCTGTAACAGTCCTGTTTGCAAATTACTCAACAGAAAAGGCAGAGAAAAACCAGAACTTTCTGTGAAGGGATCGAGAAGGTTCATTTCGGCAAGTCTGGCTCTCAGAGGGACCAAAGGCAGTGGGTATTCAGCGCCTCCTTAGGTTGAGACAAGGCACCGGCCAGGGGGGGAGGAGGGGGAAGGGCTCCCCCGACCTCAGAGTTGGTTTCACCTTTACAGACAGCCATGGAGACAGACCCTGGTGACAGCTGTTCTGGGGCCTCAGACCACAGCCCAGGACCCCGGAGGGCCAGCACCGCCCCCCCTTCTCCCCTCCCCACACTGCTATCACTCTCACTTCTTCTGGAAGGCCAGGAGCAGCCGTGGGTCCAGGATATTCTCCTCCGGCTCCCAGCTGTTGTGTCTGAAAAAGCAAAGAGCAGGTCACAGTAAATCAGCAGCCACTTCAAAAAGAAGCCAGTCCCGGCTGACGGCGGAGTCCCGAAAGGTCCCTCTCACGCCTGGGGCGAGCTCCCGGGACAGGGGGCTCCGAAGCCACCACCTTATCTTTCAACTCAAGGGAAACTGCTACTTCAACCCCCCAATTAACACCCGGCCTCAGGAGGGCTCGCAGTCTCCCCCTGGGAGGAAAACAAATCCCAACAAAACGGAAAGTGGCAGAGGGAAGCCCCCAAACCCTGGCCCGGAGCCAGGGAGGGAAGGGAAGGCTGCGCAGGGGAGGGGGGCCCCGAGGAGCACAGAAGCGCAGCCCGAAGAGTCAGAACAACGTGGCTGGCGCCCGAGCGGGCGTGGGCCGGGGAACCGGGAGGGGAAAGCAAAGAAAGAAAAGTGGGGTCCGGGAAGAAAGGGGAAACGGGTCTGCGCGAGCGACTGTAAACAGAGTCCCCTCCGGGAATGCCAAGTCCCCTCCCTTCCACTAAAAAAAGAAAGCCCTACATTCATCAATAGACAGCTCAGGTTACAGCGGGGAAATATGGACACGGGAAGGGGGGCTCGCGTCCGCGGGGAGGGGTGAGGCGGGGCGCATGCAACAAATGGGCGCGGAAGGAGCTCGCGGCGCAGGAGGGAAACGAGCCGGGCGCTGGGAAAGGCGAGCGGGGGACGCAGGGAGCCGGGCTGGGCCGCGACCCGAAGGGGGACCCGGCGGAAGCCGCTGGTCCCGCGTTCCCCGCGCTTGTAAACAAAGGACAAGCCCGCGCAGGCTGGGCGCCCCTTCGCCGCAGGGCCGGAGGGGCCCGGGACCCCGCGAACTTCCCCGCCGCGCGCGGATGGCCCCCCGGCCGCGGCAGCCCCGGGGCCGAGGGTGCCCCGTCCCGGGCCGGGGCGCGGGCGGGAAGGCGGGCGCCGCGTGGTGGGGCACTCACTTGGAAGACCAGCCGCGCCACTTGACCAGGTACTCCAGCTTGCCCTGCAGGGAGAGAGGGGCGCGTGAGCCTGCGGCGGGGGCGCGGGCCGCGGGGGGCGGGCCGGGCCGCACGCACCTTGCGGAGCCGCTTGCTCAGGATGCACTCGGCGGCGAAGACCTGCTCGCCCACGCTGCTCAGCTCCTCCATGCTGCCGCGCGCACCCGCCCGCCCGACCGCGGCGCCCGCCGCTTCCCGCACCGCCGCCTCCGCCGCGCGCCCGCCGCCACACACAAAGCACCGCCCCCGCCCGCTCAGGGCCCGCCCCGCGCACGCGCACCGCCGCCGCGCCCCTCCGCCGGGCCGCGCCCCGCCCCCGCGGGCCGTCCAACCCGGCGCTGGCCAATGAGCGCGCGGGGGCGGGCCGGGGGCGGGGCGCGGGGGCGGAGCCTGCATTGTTCGCGGCGAGCTCGGCCTCGTGCCCGCGGCTGGGCTCCGCGCGGGTTTCTGTGCTGGGCTCGGCCCGGCGGCACGCAGCGCGGCCGTCCTGGGCACGGCCGGGGACCCCTGCGCGGGTGGAAGGCGGGGGCGGGGCGCCTCGCGCGGCTTCGGGCCGGGGAAGTCGCCTGCCGAGTCCTGCTTGGACCTCGGGGCGCGCCCAACCTCCTCCTAACTTCGTTTTCCAGGAAAAAAGCCATTGTTCTGGCCCGAAGGGGGAAGTGAGGACGGAGCGCGGCGGCTGCTTCCTGCCCCCGCCTCCCAGGGGCGCTGCTGCGGGGCGCGCCAAGCTCTCCCCGGCCTCAGCCTTTTTGAACTGGGTCTCGCTGGGTCTCCCGGTCTCGGGCACTCGTCCTGGTTTGCGCGGGAGCTGAAGGGCCAGGGGGCGGGGAAGGAACGGGAGACAAAGTACTCGGGGGTGGGGGTGCATGGGGCAGCAGAAACGGAGCGGCCCGCCCCCCCAAAGCGAGAGAGAAACATGCTAAAAACGCGAGCTGTTCGGTGTGCTTACTTTTAGCTCTGTAGAGTGCACCCCAGCCCCGAGTTTTAGGGCACGCGTGGGGAGTACAGGAGATGCACCTTTTGTGACTTTGTTTCACGATTTTGATGAGATGAATGTGGGGGCTGGGAGCGAGGTGTCGGGCTTGTTCTAACCCAGGACTGAGTCATTCTCGGGCCCGCCAGGATTTGGAAATCTGTATCCTTTGGATCCACTGCACGCGGCAAAAAAAGAAGATCGCGTTCAGAAGTGGGGTGGCCTGGAGTCACCTTTGGGGTCCTGGGTGGAGGCCACCCTTTCATTTTCTGCTGTTAAGACCCATCTTCCTTGAGCAATTTCCCCGTAAGTCCGTTAGCCCTTGAATCAGAGAAGTCAAACGTACAGTAAAGGACGTGAACGTTAGCCTCACCTTTTTTTGCATCGCACGGTTTAAGGCAGTGAAAATCCACTTTCTGGTTTTGTGTCTCCCTTGCATGCAGCTGCAAAGTACTGTCTCTGTTGAGCAAACCAAAAAGTCGTTTCTGGTTGCAGGGGACTGTGTCTCAATGTAATTTTGATCATTACAATCACATTTATATAGGATTCTGCAGAAGGCATGTATTTCGTTTGAACAGAAAGGCCTACCGTAGGACATTCGGAACTGCAGGAGCCCGTCTTTCCATTTCTGGCATCTTTTTCAGTTTATTTGGTTAAAATAGATTCCTTTCAGCCGGTATCCTGGAGAGAATGTGGGTAACGTTTGCAAACTCCAGTATTGTTTGTAAAGGAGGTAGGAAGCAGGAGACTCCTTTGGGGTGGGGGTGGGGGGACATGATTGCTCGCTGGGGAGCTTGGCAGCCCAGGACCCCTTGCTTTGAGATAAAACCTGGAGTCCTGGGTGGGGAGAGCTGCTTACAATCTCTCTACAGCTCTTTTTTGGGTCCCCATCTCGAGCTGGGCAGTCAACTGGGCTGAGACCAGAGGTGTGTTGTAATCAGACAAATAGCTGGATCAGCTTCAACGCACGTTTTCTTGCAGTTCATCTTGGATATGGGGCTTTTGCCCTGGAAGTTTCCAGTTTCCTCTTGGTGATATATGATATCCTAGAAACTTGCTTATTATTATTATTATTTTTAAGGAAAGAAAGCTTTATAAAGGGAATTATTTCTTCCCCTAAGAAATACATTTGTCTAGAATTTGGTTCTAACCTATTGGGGGAGGGATCAATTTCTTGGGAGGTTTACCACTTACATCATCTGTCCAACTATGAACACTCAGTTTGGGTAAAATAATGTTTAGATAATGTATTTGGAGAAACAAATGTGGAGTAGAATTGAATTATCAGACAAATAGAGTGAGGGTATGACCCCAAAATTTGTGAAGAGTTCCTTAAAAACAGAACTGGAGCCCTCGCCCGTGTGGCTCACTTGGTTGGAGCGTTGTCCCGTACACCAAAAAGCGGCAGTTTGATTCCCCCCAGGGCACACGCCCAGGTTTCTAGTCCGATCCCCAGTTGGGGCATGTGTGGGAAGCAACTAACCGATGTCTCTCTCTCGCTTCGATGTTTCTCTCGCTCTCTCTCCCTTCCTCTCTCGAAACAAACAACAAACAAACAAAAAACTGGAAGTAGGTAGAAACAAAGAATAATTCCAGCTAAACAATTACGTTGAAACATGGGTTAGGGCTAAAGCTGCTTCTGTCTTCTTTTTATTGTCACTTGGAAAAATTGTTGAGACAAGTTAGAACAATGCCTTTCTCATTCAGTCAGCAAACAGTTACTCAGCATTTGCTATGGCCCGGGCACAGCTGGATAGGGAGGATGAAGAGCCTGGAGCAGCATGGTCTAATAGGACTTCAGTCAGGATGGACATGCCCTTGGATCTGTACTCTTCAATCTGTTACCCACCAGCCATCTGTGGCTAGTGAGCCCTTGAAATGGGGCCAGTGCTACTGAGGAATTGAATTTTCAATTTTCTTTACTTTTACGTTTCAATAACCACATGTAGCTGGTGGCCACATACTCGACAGTACACGTCTATAAGGACGCAAGGGATACACCCTCCACCTATTTTAAGCAAAAGTAATGCAGTTACTTAAATTAATCCCGGAATGTGAATGGTTTACCTACACTTCCATTTGTGCTTTATTATACGGGAAACTATTTAAAACTGCATGAAAGATGAAGAGTACAGGCGTACCGGAGTACATTCCACCTAAACACGTCGTTTAATGCCACTTTCTCCGCAAATAGTAACATTACGTGTGAAATGCCGCTACGAAAAGGTAAGAATTTTCATGCTGCTCTTATAGACTGAAAATAAGATACCACGGAGCCACAAAATGGCATGATGGTGTCCCTTCCAAGTCCCTGGGAGAGTCGGGGACTGAGGTAAGGCCAATCCCTCCATCTGTCAACTTTGGCAGTAAAACGAAATAACATTAGTTACGTCTCAGAACAGCGTTTAGTGTTTCTACAAATACTGCCTCGTGATTGCATCCAGGGCTGGCTACCGGGAGTAACTAACACCATCCCCACCGGACGCACCTCGAAGGTCTGCCTGGGATAATCTCAGGGTGTGGAATACGTCGCACAGTCTTTAGTGTTTAACGCGACGGTTTGTCCCTACCCAGGTGCCCTCACGTCTGCAAGAGGGAGGTGTGAACGGCAGGCTTGCCGTGTTCTGTGATGAGATCGTGTACATGTCGTGGGTAAATATACCCACGTGCGACACGCAGTGGTTACATATCAGAACCCACATACAAATAAGCACAGTCAGGGTGCTCGCAGTTTGCCTAAGACCTCCCTGGGCACACATGCAAATATTAAGCCCTGGACCCCGTCCCAGAAATCCTGACCCAGGAGACTGCAGAGGCCGTGCGCAGCCAACACTGTTTGGAACATTCTTACCAAGGGGAACCTTCCCTCCGCATGTGACAGATGAGGAGAAGGAACCTAACTGGGTTCCGGTCAAGCAGCCTGTTCCTGGCGTTTCCCACGTGTGCCCGGTGGGGTCAGGGTGGGGCACTCAGGCCCTCCAGGGTGGGACGAGGCAGCAGAAGCCTTCTGGGCTCCTAGGATCAGCCCTAAAGACCTGCACAGAGGGGCCCCCTTGGGTCCTGGGGGCAGGGAGGTTAAGGAATGCTAATAGGAGGTGGGAAACCGACCATTAACCAAGCCCTTTATGACGTTGCTTTGGAGACCAGACCACAGCCCCTGTGGGGGTCTCCGTTGCATAAGGCTTTTATTTCACGGTGTCATTCAGTCGTTTTGCAATCGTGTCGGTCCCTGGTGGCAGTTTTTTACGCTAGAAACAGCGCAGTGACGAATGTCCTCACCTTTGCACACACTGTGCAGCACACCTGGGGCAGCACCCGGATGCCTGGATGTGGGTCAACTGTTGTGACCTGTTGCCAACTGTTTCCCGAGGGGCTGCACTAATGGACACTCTCACCCCGCTGGACGGGGTGGCCACCCCGGGCACGAGAAGTTCCTGTTGGGCATTTCCAGGCACACTGGACGCCAGCTGGTTTTGGTGGCCCTTCTCACACAGCGAGGACGTCTGTCCATGTCCCACCGCTGCGTTTTCTCATGCGTTTTCTCAAGACCGTCGCCGGCTGCAGGGTTGTTAGAGTGTGGACCGATTTTAGGAGCGCAGCTTTTCAGTGTGAGACGCATTGTTTTCACAAACTTAAAAATGACGCACTTCATGGAGTTCTGAAATCAAGAGCGAAGCCCCTGCTTAAACACCCGTCCGTGGTCTGGGGATTCAGCGTGGCCAAGGAACCCGCGTGCACGGGTTTGCCAACTGTCCTCCCGCTGGAGACCACCGAGCGGCCTCCGTGGCTCCGTGGCTCCGTGGCTCCACCCAGAGGCTTCGGGAGAAGGCGTGCCTTCTGAGAGCTGCATTGCAAATCCAAGTTCTGCTTACTCCCTGCCTTAGCTGGTTACTTCTTAGATCAAAGAACCCAAACAAAGACATGTCTCTCAGGACACACAAAACGAGGTTTTGTTTCCTGTTTAATCCTGCTGCTTTTGGCGGAGAGAGCATGAAGGTAAGCCCAAAGGATACATCTTTTTAAAAGCTCCTTTTCCGGCTTCTGTTGGCAAAGATTTCAGTGATAATCAGAGAGACTGCATTTGGAGTCAGGGATGTCGGAACCAGAAGGGACCAGGAAGACCCTGCTTTGCGGATGAGCACAGGACAGCGCCTCACCACCTCCGACCTTTGTGGCT